AAGTGCCAGACGACCACTGTACGACGCCACAAACTCTCGGGACAGTGCTGTTTGGCCTGATGCCTTCTCTCATTCCCTGGTTTCTTCTGTTTTTAACTACGCCACGGCACCCCGGTTCAACATCAGAAACTGTTCACATCAGAAACTGTTCACAAACTGAGACAGGCCGCAGAGATGATGGCCGACTGTAATCCTTTGCTATTACTTGCAATGTTCACTGTTAGATGCAAAAAGGAACGTCTGTTAAATCCTCTGCATCCATGTGCTTACGTATGTAGTATGTAAACAAATAACTTACATGAAATAAAATGTTTTTTATCACAACATGTTAGAATTGTTAAACTTATGAATTCCAATCAGCAAGGTTTGGTGCTTTAATTATATTGTTCATTATTCAATACATTGTGCATTGGTACTTTCTGCCCATTTGATTTGTCTTGAGTAGACAATAAAATGTTTTTTTATACTAATTTCAATCTGAGCATTGGCCAAGTTTGAAAAGATTGAATTGTAGAATATTTGTAATTACACGTTTGTTTTTTTTAATTTTTTTTAAAATCATTTACTAGTAAAATAAGAAGCCGTTCAATTGTAATATGTATTTTTAATATTTTAAAATGGGGTTTCAAGGAACAAAGTCTTATCTGCAACATAAAAGAAAATAAATCAGGACACCTACACAGTTTTATAGAAACCTTATCCTTGAGCCTTCCTTGATGATCCTCCTATTGCTTATTTATTGTATAAAACCTTCATGAGCATTATTTCCAGACCGTGCTGTGGCAATAACGGCTCTTTAAATCTAGGGTATAGATGTCATAAATGTATGGTTTGATTTGTATTTGGTAGCGTTTTGTCTGGAAAAAAAAAAAAACATTCTAACGTAATGTTAATTACGTAATCACACGTGCAAGGTAGATCTAATGTGCCTGTCAAACACAGACTGTATGAGGTCTATACAGTCTGGCTCAAACACCGAACCGACCTTCTTATACAGTAGTAATTACACACTCGTAACAGTACGGGGCGCTATGTCTTTTGCAAAGATTTGATCCTTTTGACTCTCCGTAGTTTCTCCAAGCCTGACTTTGTTGTGTAAACATGTGTGTGTCTGCTCTATGTTAAATTAAACGCATTTCATCTACTATATCAAGGTACAGGTTCCCGTTGAATTAAAAAAAAAAAAAAAATGGAGGCAGAGACTCGTCTTCAAAAGGTGAGACAATCTTGTGTGTTTGCTACTTGTTTATTTGTCCGACGCTAGCTATACTTAGCTTAGCAAATTCGATCATGTTTAGCTTGGTTATCTTACGATGATTTATCCTAGTAAACAAAACTAGATTTAGATGTGTAATAATGTTGTGGAAGTAAAAATTAAATTAATGGTCATGAAAGTGCTTATTTACAACCCTTGTATTCTACAGCGGCCCATTGGAGAAGAGGAGAGGGGCTCTGACGGATCAGAGGATGATGACTACGTCCCATATGTCCCTGTCAAAATCCGAAAACAACAAATGGTGTGTTGTCAGAACATATTTAATACACATTATGAGTGAATCGTATGTATTCATGTGTAATTATTTGTTCCCAGCTCCAAAAATTGCAGCGTATTAGAGGGAAGGTAGTGGATGAGGAGCAGAAAGAAAGTGGCGAGGAACAAAGAGATGAAGAAGAGGGACTTGGTCCACGCTCCAATGTCAGTCTTTTGGACCAGCACCAAGTCCTTAAGGAAAAGGCTGAAGGTGCTCAATTACTGCTTTCCCAAACCCTCTGTCTGTGCATGTAGTATCTATCTAACGTTTCAATTTTACAGCTCGTAAGGAGTCTGCCAAAGAAAAACAACTCAAAGAGGAGGAAAAGATTCTGGAAAGTGTTGCAGAGGGCAGAGGTATTACTTGTCAATTACTAAATGGCAAAATATAGATATTGTTTGTTATGTTGTAAAGCCATTCACATTCACTGTTTTGTCTTTTTTGTAGCTTTAATGTCTGTGAAAGAAATGGCCAAAGGTATCATATATGATGACCCTATTAAAACCAGGTATGCTGAACTCATTCAACTCGTCCAACATATAGTGTGCCCTTTTATATTTTCATTGTGTACTCACTCTCCACAACCATCTTTACAGCTGGACTGCTCCCCGTTATATCTTGAACATGCCAGAAACAAGACATGAGCGAGTTAGAAGAAAATTTCACATTCTAGTTGATGGTGATGGCATTCCACCTCCAATCAAAAGTTTCAGGGAAATGAAATTTCCACCAGGTATTTTTTATTTGCAGGTTCTCTGGAGAAAAATACATAGACAAGACTTTCTGTTTTTATTTTGTTTTTGTGTGCAGCAATACTTAAAGGCTTGAAAAAGAAAGGCATTATACATCCAACCCCCATTCAGATACAAGGAATTCCCACTGTGTAAGTAGAAGCATTAATTATGATGATCATTATGACTTACACACACACAATATTCTTAAATAATTTACCTCTTGACTGGTCATTTGTTCTGCTTCAGTCTTTCTGGACGGGATATGATTGGCATTGCTTTTACCGGTTCTGGAAAGACATTGGTCTTCACTCTGCCGATTATCATGTTTGCCTTGGAGCAGGAAAAACGACTACCTTTCTTTAAACGTGAAGGACCTTATGGCCTTATCATCTGTCCATCAGTAAAACAAATCCATTCCAGTAATTATCTTCACTTCTTGTGCTTTTCCACAGATTATAATATGTCCAGTTGTACTCTTTTCTTATTCTAGAGGGAGTTGGCAAGACAAACACATGGCATTATTGAATATTACTGCAAACTGTTAGAAGAAGAAGGCGCTCCACCAATGCGCACTGCCCTCTGTATTGGCGGCATGTCTGTTAAGGAACAGATGGAAGTAATAAAACAGTTAAGTCACATTGGAATTTGCACTTACAATGGTTGAAAAGATGTTTCTAAAGCTGTCTGTTTCTTTGTGAATACAGTGGTGTCCATATGATGGTGGCAACTCCTGGTAGACTCATGGACTTACTGCAGAAGAAGATGGTCAGTTTGGATATATGCCGCTACCTGGCTCTGGATGAGGCTGATAGGATGATTGACATGGGCTTCGAGGAGGACATTCGAACCATTTTCTCCTATTTCAAGGTGAGTGTGTAAATGTGTCATTACATATAGTCTAGGTAAGTGAATAAACATCTTACTGGATTAAAACATTTGTTTTTAATGCAATGTTTTGAATTCCATATTTTTAATTATCATTTTTACACAAACTAAGGGACAAAGGCAAACCCTCCTTTTTAGTGCTACTATGCCAAAGAAGATACAAAACTTCGCCAAGAGTGCACTTGTCAAACCAATAACTATTAATGTGGGCCGGGCAGGTGCCGCCAGCTTGGATGTCATTCAGGTGCTGCCTTGTCTGCCTTATTGTTTATTTAGCAATTATTTGTGTAAGGTTTTTCTCTATAAGATATTTTGTTATGTGTATCTAGGAAGTGGAATATGTCAAAGAGGAGGCCAAGATGGTGTACTTACTGGAGTGTCTACAGAAAACGCCACCACCTGTATGTATTATGTTGTGGCACTCAAACATAATAAAATGTTTGATTACCTAGTGAATGTAATAACAACGTAATGTTCTCTGTATGTTCACAGGTTTTGATATTTGCTGAGAAAAAGGCTGATGTTGATGCTATTCATGAGTATCTTTTGCTGAAAGGTGTAGAGGCTGTGGCCATTCATGGAGGCAAAGGTAAAGTCTGATGTTTCTATTCAATTTTAGCTGTTCTTTCCCTGTGTTGTTAAATTACATTCAGATGCTTTATTTTGTTGCAGACCAAGAGGAAAGAACAAAAGCCATAGAAGCATTTAAAGAAGGGAAAAAAGACGTGTTGGTTGCTACAGATGTTGCCTCCAAGGGTTTGGATTTCCCTGCTATACAACATGTAGTAAACTATGACATGCCCGAGGAGATTGAAAACTATGGTAAATGTTTGTTTCAGTGTGATCTATAGATTTTGTTATTTTATTAGTTTATTAATCCACCTGTCTTATATAGTTCATAGAATTGGAAGAACGGGTCGCTCAGGAAAAACTGGTATTGCTACAACGTTCATCAATAAAGGCTGTGGTAAATAAACCATTTTATTATATTTGCTGATCTTAACTTTCTATTTCCATGGATTCATGCAGGTGACATGTCACCTCCAGAAAGTTACATACTGTATCTTTTTAAATGCTAAATGCTAAACCTATTAATTGTATTATGAATCAAAAAGAGCTGTCTCTGTGTGAAAAGTACATTTCTATTTTGTCTGTCTGTTGTCTACATTTGTGTTAACTGAATGTAACATTTTATAGATGAGTCTGTGCTGATGGACCTGAAAGCGCTGCTGGTTGAAGCCAAACAGAAGGTTCCTCCAGTCCTTCAGGTGCTACAGATGGGTGACGAGACTATGTTGGACATTGGAGGTATGTTCTTTATCTGTTTTTATTTATTGTTTTGTTTTCTCTTTCTTATTAAGTCTTTTATTTGTGTTTTCAGGCGAAAGAGGCTGTACATTCTGTGGTGGTCTGGGCCATCGTATCACTGACTGTCCCAAACTGGAGGCTATGCAGACCAAGCAGGTCACCAACATTGGCCGCAAGGACTACTTGGCCCACAGCTCAATGGACTTTTAAAGAGCTTTCTTTTATAAAAGGAACCGAAATTGGAGAATATTTCTAAAAATAGTGTACAGTTAAATTTCATATTACAAGACACAGGAAGTTATTTTTTTGTACCTATCAACAAACTCTGTTTGTTTGTTATAAAATTTAGACGCATGTTGTAAATAAATGATTGTTAGTTTTTCATCTTGAAAGGTGTGGTGCATTGTGGCTTTAAAGGAAGTTGCAAAACCATTACATATAATGCAAAAGGAAGTTTCAGTGGACACTTAACTATGCTGTTTATCATTTTCAAAGTTTGGCTGGTAGGCAACTCAAACTCAACAATGTGAAACTTGCTGACGTAAAGGAAACTTTGAGAGAATGTTGTAGGAACTAAACTTTTAATTTTAACCCTGGTATCGCTTTGTGTACACCACAAATTCTCAGTTGTACAAGTGAAAAACAGCTGAACAGATATGGATGTCGTGTTCAAAGAGGGGCTACTCTACTTGCAAGCTGTAAAGTTTGGAAAAGTAAGTAAAATATATGCTACTCTATTCAAAATTGTAGGCTAAACATCAGAACTAAACTGTGTGAATGTGTGTGTATTTTTATTTTTTATTATGTAATCAAAAAACCAATAGCAGTATGTCTCTTGTGATGGGTCAGTTTAAAGTCATAAATCCGATTGCAAAAATAACAATTTATCTCTCTAATCTGCATTAATGTAGTATTTATTTAATGATCAAAGTGCTGTCTTAATATTTTTAAAATACTTCCACAATGTAAAATATATTAGAAATTATAGGTGATACTTCAGCCTTTTTTTTTAAAAAACAATTACTGTGAACTAGACTGGCATTAATTCTGTTACATATGATCTGTTTTTCTGTGTGTGTGTGTGTGTATGTCTGTGTGTGTGTGTGCCCGCGCCTGTGTGTGGGTGTGTTTTTTTAATATAATTTTATATTTTAAAACACACAGTAGTATGCCTCTTGTGACAGTTAAATTTTAAGTCTTGACAAATATGACTACAAGAATAACAGTAATTCTCTCATCTGTATTAATGTAAAATTTATTCAACAATCATACACTTTCTAGCATATCTTTCATTCTTTTTAACAGAAAAGTTGGCGGAAAATATGGATGGCTCTCTACAAGCCAAGCTCCACAGGAGTTGGCCGGTTGGAGCTGTACACTGTTGTAGACAACAACACTGCTGCTATGTATGACAATAAGAAAGCCAGAAAGGTTGTGCGCCTAAGTGACTGCCTCAGTGTCACATCAGCCCCTAAAGAATCTTGTCCTACAGATTGTGAAGCTTTTTACTTAAACACCACATCAGAGATTTACACCCTGGCCTCTCCAACAACCCATGACTGGATAAGTGCACTCTGTCTTCTTGCTTTCCAGGTAACGACTTTTTATTTTTACCAGGGAAACGAGAATAATGAGGTGTACCTACAAACAAAGATAGCACAATGAGGAAGTTCATGCAGTTGCTTGTAATGACAGCCACTTCTCTAAATGTCTTATACTTCTCAGAGTCATAAAAGAGTGATAAGAGGGTGCTGTACCCTCCAGCTTATGTTGACAATGCCACTGTGTTTACAGAAGGATCCTGAAGATGCAGACAAAGGGGCTTTCGATAGAGGAAATGGCCTGATCATGGAGGACAACGACTTGTATGCATCATGGGAAAGTGCTGGTAGTGTGTTATAAAGATCTGTTTTTTTTGTTTTTTTGTATTTTGAAAAACCTCCAGCACTTCTTTATAATGGACTTAAATACTCTTTTATTTTTAAGATACGACTCAACCACTAAATGTCCACCTAGTGACTGTGCGCAGTACAGAGGCATCTCAGAGGTGTAAGTTAACTGGGGACTATCTGATCTCACCTGAAGATGACGCTTTGCTGCTGCTTGACTACAACACCTGTGACATCATCTACCGCTGGCCTTACAAGATGTTACGAAAATATGGCCAAGTTGAGGTAAAATGATAAAGTTAACACACTAGGCTCAGCATTAGGACTGCTAATGGTAAATTGATCTTACCATCTTTATATGATATATGATTATTACTGTTTATAGGCAGCAAGGTAATCTTATCTCCTGTGTTGCAATATAGACAAAATTATGTAAACTGTGATGGCTGAAGTGGAGCATTTCTAAAACTCTATTTTTATAAAGGAACATAGGTAATGAGCAGTAGGTTAACCAAATATAGAGAGGGCAGTTGTATTGACTTTCACAGCTATAAATAGTTCTGAGAGTAAGGTGTCATACTGCATGAAACTGTGGCACATTGAAGTTCTATATAAACTTCCACATATTTTTCAATGTGATTCCAGGGAGGATTCAGTATCGAAGCAGGCCGGCGCTGTGAGTCAGGGGCAGGAAAGTTTGTCTTCTTATCCAAACAAGCGCAGCACATTTTTCAGATCATCTCCCAACAGTGCACCGAAAAGACATCAACTTCACAGCAGCACAATAACCAAGCACCGTTTGACCAATCTACTGTCCAGTCACCCATCGCAGCTGACCCATCATGCTTCCAAGATTTATTTTCTGCTCACACTGATGACAAATCCCCCCAATACTACTGCCATCTTACTGGCTGTTTCAGTCAGTTATCTGTGGACCAAGCTCATTGCAGTCACAGTGGGGAAGCAGTAGGAGACGGAGGCGAGGATGACCCTGGCTATTCCCTAGAGGTTGAAGACTTAAATTATACTGCGGAGGAGAGTATTTATTACAACCTGCCGCTTTCTGTGCTGGGCCAAATGAAAGACCAATCTCAAGATGATTCAGAGAGCTTATATTCAGAAGTTAGGAAAGACAAAACATCTTTATGTCAGCCTATAACAGTGCAACCTGCTTACAGTCCGCTTCCAAAACCACGGTACCATCTACAGCAAACAAGGAGTGATTCTATGACCCCCCTCTGTGGTACTCAAGTAGAAGTGATGGATAATGTGAAAGAGGAGGAGGGCATCGTATCCATTGGCCAAATTACCCCCTCAGAGGCCTCAGCTAGTTTTAAACATCGTCTAGCTGAAATCATTTCTAAAGACCTGGCAAAGTTCCAGGCACCAGTCCCCTCTGGAGCAGCCAGTCCCACATATCCTCTGTAGGCTATTATGTAAACAAGAAAAAAAAAAAAAATTAAGCCTTGCTAGATAGTCATAATACATAATTAGCTACAGTGTTGCTTTTGAAGTTCCCACCTCTACAGTTACATATGCGTTGGGTTGCAAATGTGTTCACTCTGGCACTGATCAGTGCTATTAAACTAATAAAAGCATAATATACAATTCTATATAAATAAAACAAATTAAACATAGATTTTGTAGTGGTTTTCAGCAAAGTTCTATAGGCTAATTTATGTTATAACTGAAATAGGTTTGTATTACAAAATATGACTGAGCACAACTTAATTGTACCATATATTTATTGTAGAAAAACATGGTAATAAAATAAACAATATAAATATCAAAATAATTACTTTGAGGCACGTCACTAATGACTATCATTGTGATATTTCTAGCCCGGATAAAGTGCAAGAGAAGGCCTTGAGGAGTCGGCCTCTTGATGTCCATTATAACATAGCAGAGCACATCTGAACTATGACAGGAGATTATGCAGAACTTCTATAATAGCTGCAGCGTTTGTTCCGCTCACATTCGCTCCAATAACACTGTAGCACAGACATTAGGAGCAGTACAGTGTGTTGTTACTGTCTCCCGTTTAGACTTTCCTCGAAGTCGCTGAGGTGAGAGGACTCTCCATCACTGCTGTGCGCGGAGCTCATGCCCGCCTCCGACTGCGGCCCGAGGATAATGAAGTGTCCCACTGCTGTAGACGCATCTCTCTCCTCCAGGGTCGGCGGACCGGTCTGTGGGACACAATCCGCAGTATGGTGAGAATGCAGTAGACTTCTTCTGGGCGCTTTATCGGCTGTGTCCCCGCAGTCCTGACGAACCACTCCTGCCAGCAGCTCGGACAGTTCTGTGATGTAAATCTGTGCCATTTGAAGCGTGTCATACTTGGACAGCTTCTTCTCGTTCTCCAGTGACGGTATGACGCTCCGCAGCTCGTCAAAGGCTTTATTCAGGCCGTGCATCCGTCTGCGCTCACGCGCATTGGCGGCCACGCGCCTGTGTCTCTGAGGGCCAAAGTGACTCGTCTTGGCCCCATCATCTGCTTTGTTCCGGTGTGTGATTCCAGTGGAAGGATCTGGAAGTTTTGGCACAAGTGAAAGGCCTGCCGTCTCACTGGAGCCGTCTCTTCTTGAAAACTCATGCAAGGAATTTGAAGCAATCCACGCTTTGGAGTTAATCTGCGCTTGGAGAGTCTGCGCCTGATGCAATAGACTGAACTCCTCCGGGTACTCAGTCCAGCTGAGGACTTCAGCTTTAGCAGCCATCACTGTAGTGGACAGGAGTTTACAGAAAAGGTCAAAGAGAAAATTATCCTTGTTTGCTGATGTGCTGGCACTGCACCGGCCATTTATATCACCAGCCTCCCTCCCAGTGTCACCTTGGTGTCACTCCCCTCCGCTCCCTGACAGCTTCACGAAGCAGTAGCCAATCGCATGCCCCCTCATGTCACATAACAATTAGACAGAGCCTCGCCTTTTACACATTGTGCTTTGTAATTCAATCACGACCTTGTTATTGTGCGTTAACAGTTGCTCCCCATAACTATGAATCATTCAGGAGCGTCACTAGTCAGAAAAATGATCTAATGAACCCAACGCAACTTTTTCACAGAATGAATGATTAAAACTAATTACATTACTAATGCTATGTGTTTATTGGCAGTAAAGTGATTTTTTATCAAATAAACTGTATGAACTAGACAGTCTCTCTGGGATTATTTAAATAAGAATAATAAAAGAGACAGATGGAGAGCAAGACATAGACCAGGACACACCTTTCTAAATAAGGAAGTGATACGTTGTCCACTCTAAAGGCGAATTTCTGCACCATTACGCATGAGAGCAGGATATCATTGACATACATAAAATGAATAATAAATGCTTGTTGCTTTAAATGTTGTTGTTGAGCCCTAAAGATCAGTGGGCTATAGACTCATGGGCCCCGTGCCTCTCAGCTGGTGTCCCTTGGCACCCCACAGCAGCCGCGCGCACCTCTGTCAGAGCGCACAGCCACCACGTCTCCCATATGCTGTTGGGTCGCGACATCTCAGCTTGGACTGTGTGGACTGAAACTAATCAGTCATTAGACCGACTATTACAGAGAAGAAGAGGGTCTCTCCCAGATTGGTGGGGCGTCCTGCAGCAACTCGTGCATTTGGTCAGTGTTTGTGTGAAAGTGTGACATTTGGAGGCAGTGGAATAGAAAATCACCGTGACGCGCCGTTCCCGGTCATCACAGTTAACAGCAATATGTAAATCGGCACGCTTGTGATCCCTGGGTGTCCATTCGTTTTTGCTACATGAATATTTCATTCCTTCAGCCATATAGTGCCAGGGCAACAGCCTGTAGCCCTGCGTGCGGGTTTTAAAAATGCGTCTCCACTTCCCATCTGCTGTGGGGCTTGTGCTTGAGGAGTCCGAGGAGGTGTGAGGAACATTTCTGAGGTCAACCTCCATGACCTTCCCAGAGAAAGAGACTGATGGGGCCTATGGTGGCAACAGGCAGGGGGTACGGACAACACGAGCGGCGAAAGGATGCGCTCGTGTCAACTGTTAGACCAGTACGAGCTCTGCTGGGAGCTAATTAACTTCCAGCTATGGATGCCCTTTACAGCCAGGCGCAGAGAAAATACTCTACGAACTGCATGTTTAGGTTAATCTTTTAATCATAATAAAAATAATGAAAGGATATAAATAGCTCATACGCGACTCCATTGACTGACAAACAACCAGTGGTCTGCAATTGTAGAAACGTTAAAATAAGATTAGGCTCTTGGCTTTTTGTTTGAGTTTAGGCTGTAGGCTTTACATTCAATTACAATTTTTAAAAGTCATTAATAACACTTTTTGTGTAAATTTTATTTCATCGGACAGTTATAAGATCGATTGCATGCACTCTTCATCTTTTGCTAATTCAACAAGGCCCAACTCCATAAGCTTGAGCTTCTAAAGAGGGACAAAAACCTACCCTGAGCCGACCCACTAACAGCTAAGTGATGGTGAACAACACCGTGCATCCAGGCTGGTAAACAGGAACTAAGGAATAACACAGCTACAGGTCATGCCAATTTGTTACAGAATAATGCTGCAGGACAAACTTGCTTCTGACTGTAATTTGATAGCAATTATTATTTTTATTAATAGTTAATTCTTTACTTTGGGTTTGACTGATGCCATGAAAAAAACGCACTAATCAATTAATTCAATTGGTTCCACTTGCTGTAGATCCATTAATAATGAGTAATGACAGAATATTGGTCTAATTTACAGTAAATGTAGAAGGCCTTATAGTGAAATTAAACATGTCGTTGTTTCACAGGGAACATTTTAAACCCCTTTTCCATGATTCCTGGGGAACAAGAGTAGAACATGTGGTCTTCAGCAATTTAATTAATTGATGAGAAGAATCTTAAGGTGTGTTCATCCTTCTAGTTTTGTACTTGTTTGAGCTCAATTTGAGTCCTAGATTGTAACAAATTTCCTGTAAATTTTACAATAAACACCTGGCAATTTTGTTGCCAGGTGTTTATTGTATTATTTCAGTAAATTACTGTAAATTGTATTTACAGGTAAAAACTGGGAACACTTTACAGGTTTTTGTTGGGGAATTTTTACAGTTATTCATTGGTTTGAAGTTTACAGTGAATAATTGCTCTGCAGCTTAGAGCAAAACCTTGTATACCACATTTACAAGTATTACCTGGCAATTTTGTTCCCAGTAATTCCCTGTAATTTAAAAAAATACAGCTAATCAATGTATTGTCATAAGAATAGACAGACTCAGAGCTAAAATGCATTCAAACATTTATTTAAAAAAAAACAGTTACCACAAATACACATTAAAATATGTAAACAAAAGATGTAACAAAATATTTAACACATGTAACTGACAGTTGGACATGAGCTGATGTATAAAGTCCATAAAGAGCCTGAAGAGAAGAGACGTGAGGATCCTTCAGCTCTGTGTGAGCTGCACTCAAGTCCTTTAGGCTCCTTCTAGATCTATAGTCCTGTCTGTGTTCACCTCATGAAACATCTGCAATCACAAAACACACAGGAATCAAAGGAGGTAACAGCAATCTGTATTATTCTAATGTCATGCAGAAATGCTCACCTGTGAAGTGCAGTGGATGCAGTGAAGAAGTGAGTTGAGCTCAGACACAGAGCTGGAATGTGACCTGATCTTAACTGATCAGTGCTCAGTATAAACCAGGAGACCTAAACACAAACAATCACATTTTATTATTAGAATACACCTTTAATATTTACACTGAGAGGAGTGACAGAAAACAACTGTGCTTAATGTTATTAAAATGACCTCAACATCCCACCACTAAGTGTGTACATGAATGACATGTTCACCAGTCCAGTGTGCAGGAGGCTTCTAGTGAAGAATGCAGGCAGCTACAGAGGTGAGGTCCTCAGTCTCCAGTGTCCACCTGGTCTAGTGACACCTAAACAAATAAATAACTTAAAAACAAACAAACAAACAACAACAAAACAACAGGTTACTTACTCTTGTGGAGTGAATGGACCAGTACATTATCCCGATGAGCTCCTCTTTGTCTCTGCTCCTCTTAACTGAATGTGTGCGGTGTAGAAACATTTGAAAATACAACATTTACATGTAATATCCTCCCATCTACAGTAAACCACAAACTAATTTTAATTTACAAAAGGCTGTTGTAGAAAAAGTTCTTACTAACTGTAATATTTTTTTGTCCCACAATGCATTGCAATCTACAGTTATGACATGTAATTTGTGAAAGCAAGAAGCAGTTGTAAAAATTCCTGTAGAAACTACAGAAATTAGTTAGAGTGTATGTAGACGTGGATTGGCCCTGCTTTAGTCCTGTTTCTAGCCTTGGTTCTGGACTTAGTCCCACTTTAGATCCAATTTAGATGTGATTGCAAATGATTGAGCAAGTAAACACATCCACAGCCACATAAATAGATGTCCGTGCATTTGGCAACTGAACATGTGATTTTGTTTAATAAAATTTAGAGAACACACAACAACTCTGTTTCAAATCAGCGTAATCATATGAGGTGACAAAATGACTAGGGTTTTAGTTTCATGTCATTTGGAGGATTTTAAAAGAAAACTGGTTCTGAATGACAAATTTCTAAAGATTGTAGTGTTTGCTAGTATGGCCTATACAGCAGGCAGCATAAATAGACCAGCATTAGCAATAAATTAAGTCTGTAAGTAAGTCTGTTAAACTGTATGATAGCGCTGTAGTTAATCTAGCTAGGCCTGTGATTGACATCTAAATTTAAGCCTACTCCTTTGAACTGGTTGTCAACTTGGTGTAGCCTATAGTTAACACAGGAAATTGTATTCTCACTCAGTTTTACTCAATCTCCGTCAACAGCACTCAGAATTAAATTAAAAATCCATTAAGGATTTATTGACCCATACAATAATTTTCTAAAATGCTTTACATGAGGAAAGGAAGTGAAATAGTAGCCCATTACCTAGGCATTTTACGACAAAAGCCAACCTATTAAGAAGGCAAGCCAAATGACACAAAGTGATGGATCTAATGTTTTTAAGGGCACACCTTATTTTCTCCCTCACTAACCCTTATTTGACATTCATGTTAGTTTTGTTCTTTTGGCTTTATTGAAGAGCCTTTAATTTTTTCACAATAGACTATTTTCATTTTCTTACAATAGACATTGATAAACAGGGGAGCTCTTGATGTCTCTGGCAGTAGTCTGTAATTATGCCCCACACCCTAAATAAACTATGGAGGTGCCTTGACTGACCAGAAAGAAATGCCGGGGTTCCACACTCAAATTAGCCCAATTACCAGCCTCATTAATTTAGGAAATGAATGTAGGCCCTATATTCATGTAAAGTGGAGGTTTATTACGCAGGTCATGTCTTACAGCTAATGGATAGGCCCAGTGAGGTGCAAGGACAATAAAACGGAGATTAGACGAGCTTATTGCTACTCACATCTGCATGACACGTGGCGTGAAACGCACGATGCATTTGGCTTGTTCGTCATAATTAGTATCGCGAGAAATGGTCGAAGAAGGAAGACGCCTCCATAATGATGTCCTGAATATGCCCGGGGGTCTGTGACACGGAGCTGCTCCAGGATCCCCCTTAGACAGTAACATGACCCCGGGTAAGAGGCACTCTGCGCGAACTTCCGCAACAAAGACTTTAAAAAGTCCAGGGGACTTGCACTGACTCTGTTAACAAGGAGCTTACCTAAACATACACTTGTTAGCATTGAACGGCGCATGTAGGT